TGTAATCTTTATTTTAAAGCAGCTCCACTATACAGTAAGTCACATATGGAATCACTCCAAACTCATAAGTAAACGTGATATTTGACTTGATCTGACACTTGTATGTCATTCCTCTTTATTAAACCCTCTAACAGTTAGATAGGACTTTTCAACTGAACATGTTTTTTCTGGTATTTAAGGCTAAAAGTAGAACAAATCCTGCTAAAAACATTAATATCTCTCTTTGTTCTCTGAATAAATAAAGGTGTCTAACTGCATGCTAGTGCTAACAGGCTCTGTCACACACAGCCGAAGTGGCCGACTTCACCCTGTCACGTCATTAACCGGCTAAACAAACACATCACTTCCTGGTTCATCTGAACATTACCTCTCGTTTACAAGACCGTCCTCAGCTTAGAGCTCAGAGGATCGGGTTTTCAAATTAAACTAAAGCTCGAGGCCTGAAGGGAGCTGGTGTGTTCAAGTGTTGTGTTCCGTTAAAGTGGATCCACGGTGGAACTGGTTTAACTGCATGGGGAGGTCATGTGTACGGGAACGAGGGCAGGAGATGGAGGGGAGACTGAAGAGAGGGGGTATTGTTCTGGAAATAGCTTCAGGGCTTTGTCTGCTGAAGTGTGTGTGTGTGTGGGTGTGTGTGTTAATGAATGAGTTATGACTGTGTGAACATTCTGCCTTTTTACAAAGATTTTTACATGTGGGGAGGAAAACAAGAATTATCAACACCAACACACTGTTATCTCTGCTTGGAGTGTGTGTGTGTTATGGTGTGTGTGTGTGTGTGTGTGTGAAATGGGTGTGTCCACACGATTCAGCCATGCGGGGGCCGGACTTGGGTCCTCCTTCAGGTGTGTGGAACAAAGACTGAAGTCATAGAGGGGGATTCAGACATAAAGGCAGGATCTGGGTCAACTGGTGGAGGATTTGAAGGAGGTCTGGAACAGAGTGGACCCCAGATGAGAAGAGAAGGAGAAAAAGGGAGGAATGTTTGTGGTTTTGTCCTGAAGATTTCCAGGAAGCTCAGGGATCGCTGCCTGCCTGTACTTGCCTTGGAACAGGTAACTGGTGTGACTTTATTTTGTGTGGGCAGATTTCGTGGGAAAGAGAGATGTTGGCAGATTTGCGTAGTACCAGATAGAGATAGTCCAAGGTTTTAGTCTTTACTGGATCTCTTTTGAATGTAAGGAGGGTCTGCTTGGATCCCTGACCTTCGAACAGTCAGCTGAAGGTAACGTAAAGCTGAAAGTATATTTTATAAATTAGGACATTTTGCATTTTCTGTAAAAATGCAGCGCGAATGCTGAAGAAGCTGAAGCATATTGTTGAACCTAGAAACTAGAAGCACCTGCATTATGTTGGACTAGAAGCTAAAAGCAGCCAAAGGGGACCTAAAGGAATAACTAAAATCTAGTAGCAAAAGGCTAAAGCAAAAAGTAGCTACAATCTCAAAGTAGCAAAAAGAAAACAGAACCAGTAGTTGAACCAGATTTCGAAGAGAACAGACTTTAATTTGAGTCTATGAGGAAAATATTTGTAAAGAAAGTAAAATGTTCTGAACGAGCTGAACATTTTGATGCATGAATGGCAAAAATGGCACAAATGTTGCAGAAGTTGGATTGCAAAAAAAAAAAAAAGACATACCTAAAACATGACAACAATAGTGTGGTGCTGAATCAACATTGTTGCATCACAACCTGATCTGGCACAGACCACACAACTTCAGCTGCTTTCTGCATGCGTCTCGGCTCGTTCTGCTGTTTTCAACTCACATTTTTTAGGAGCTAAAATGCAACAATAAAAGAAAAAGTGACTGTAACGAGAAACGGTTCTTTAAAAACTGAGCCCAAACGGCTCAGACATGTTGTTTTTGTCCAGAGTGTGTCTCCAAGGTGTTGCCTTTATGTCATGGAGATAAAAACGGTTGACTCATGCCGACTCACAGTCAAATCTGCTCGGTGTGGTCTGGAGGTGTTTAACTTGTGTGTTTGCACGAAGGCAACGATGTAAATACAGAATGGTATTATTCCCTAGCTATATGTTTGGATCTAAAAGCAGACAATGGAGCAGCCCCGCCCTTTTTTAAAAACATGCACAGTGAAGGACTAGAACAGTCATTTTCAACTATCGTCACAGGTCTTTTATTCTGATAATCAGGATAATATGATTGAGAAAATGTCCCTAAAGCTTAAAAATAGCTACTATTCCTTTTGCACCTAACATTTAATTAGACTGTATCAAAATAAAAACCACTTCCTATGAAAACGCTGAATATTTTATGTCTAATAGCAGCACATAACTGCTGCTGTTGCTGATCCAAAGGCTCAAGTACTGGTCCTCATCTGCATTTAGAATGATTCGTTCAATTGGATTGTAGAGATATATTAGAGTGCTGTACGAATGGGTAAATAAGGACACAGATTGTAGTGTAAAGCGCTTTGAGTATCTCAATAAGATAGAAAGGCGCTATATAAGTACAGTCCATTTACCATTTAGGCTTTTTAGTGTTTTAAAAACTCTGCTGCTTCTTACTGGGATGAAAAGACAAACCACTCAACTGTCCAGTTTTTAATTGTTGCCTTTAAGAACCAGTGCTGATTAGCTGAAATCACCTGACAGGTTCTGGGCCTCCAAATCCTGAAGATGAGGGTCAAACGTCAAAAACTGTTTGAAGCAGTCCAACATTTTTCAGTCAGGTCATCTGGACAGTTTCGGGGTTTTTTTTGTGTGTGTGCTGAAACGTTTCGCCTTCAATCCAGAAGGCTTCATCAGTCAAGGAAACGCACAACACTGTCAACAAGGAAGAGGGCCGGCAATGGAGGATGGGGTGTGACAAAGAGACCATCTTAGCACCAACATAACTGGTTTGTTCCACTTTGGAGTAAGCTGTTTGGGGAAGAATCAGTTTTGTTGTGCGTTTCCTTGACTGATGAAGCCTTCCGGATCGAAGGCGAAACGTTTCAGCACAAAAAAAAGAAACTGTCCAGATGAACTGACTGAAAAATGTTGGATTTTATACCTGGATTATTGAGCATGGACTTTGTTGGTTTGAAGCAGTGTTTCAGCTGGTCTGCTGAATGTTGCAGCTTATGCCAGAATGGCTGCTTGTTCCTCTGTACAGCAGAGTTTCAGCGTGATGCACCTTGTCTGTCAGATGGATGTGCTCCATGGTGGAGGATCGTCTGCCTCTTATCTCGGTCTGCTTCGACGGTATTCAGCAGATGTCTGTGGAGAGCTGCTGCTCTTCATCTGCAGCCTGTTCCACAGCCGTGTGCATCGCTTCGATAAGACCGAGGGTTCAAACTTACACTGCGTCTCCCGGGACTGTAGCTGATTAGAGGGGTTCACAAGAGGCTGAAAGATGCACGAGCATGACTCATTGTTTTTTTTTTTTTCTGGAGTGTTTTTTTATTTTTTTATTTGCAGTAATAAAAATGACTAAATTAGAAAGTTTCTGAATAAATGTTGGCGGGAGCCAAACTTTCTTCTCTAAAGCCAAATAGTAATTTGAGTCGTCCTTTTGTGATTAACCATACCACTAAAGCATCCATCCACCCACCTACCTCTATCCGTAGTTGGGTCATGGAAACAACAAGTCCATAAGAGAAATCCAGACCTTCCTCTCCCCAGCGACACTTTCCAGCTCGTTCTGGGGGACCCCGAGGCGTTCCCAAGACAGAGAAGATGCACAATCCATCCAGAAACTTCTGGGTCTTCCCCAAGGCCTCCTACCAGTGGGACATGCCTGAAAAACCACTAAAGGTATATCTAGGAGGCATCCTAATCCAATGCCTGAACCACATCAACTGATTTCTTTTGTTGTGGAGGAGCAGCGTCTCTACTCCGAGCTCCCCCCCGGATGACGGCGCTCCTTACCTTCTGTCTAAGGCTGAACCCGGACACGCTACAAAGGAAGCCCATTTCATTCGTTTGTATCTGGGATCACATTCTGTCGGTCATGATCCAAACCTCATGACCAAATATGAGGGTCAGGACGTAGACTGACCAGTAAATCAAGAACTTTGCTTTTCGACTCAGCTCTTTCTTCACCATGACTGACTGAAGCAACACCCTCATTACTGAGGACGAGATCCTAAGTTGTTGATCCATCTCCCACTCAACCATTCTGCCATCACTCAGGAACAAGTCGCCCAGATACTTGAACCACTCCACCTGAGGCAAAGTCTCCCCCCTGACCCCGGGGGAGAATAAAACCTACATTCTGATTAACAAATTGTGTAAAATGTGTAAAATTTTCAAGGATGGATAAAGTTTGTTGGCAAAAAAATATGTCTGGAGGGTTTAGACAACTTGGACATTACCGGTACTGTCACAGCATCACAATAAGTTGACCAACCTGCAGTCAACCTTAAAAATATCGTAGTGTGATCATGATGGTTAAAAAATGTTAAAGATCACAGAAAGCCAGTGAGCCGTGTGAAGTCCAACTTCCTGTGACCCGTTCAAACTTTAAACGTTTGTGAGCTGTAGAGCTCCTAACAGGTCGTTCACTTTTATCAAGTCGCCGCTCATTTTTCCTGATGAAGCTGCTTGTTTTGTTGTTGTTGTGTTTGTTTGTTTGTTTGTTTTTCAATAGGTATTTGTTAAGGTATGAAAGGAGTAGAGACTCGAAATGTGATGGAACTGGAAAAATAACATAATGCTGGTGCTTTAATGCTTTTACACCTGCACCCCTTTTAGTGTTTAATTATCTTTTTTTTTTTTTTGCATTGCAGGATATTAAAAATGAACACATTTCAAACATATTTTGAATACTTGTTAAAAAAAATTGTTCATTCATAATATTAATGCACAGTCCAGTTTTATCCGAGAAAATTCAAGATAAAAAAAACCCAAAATATTTAGATTATTTTTCTTGTCATGCTGTGAATTAGATAATTTCTTTAATTATAAAGACTTATCATACCCCAGATTTCATGTTTTCTGACGAGATGACTTGTTCGTTGCAGATCATTTTATTTTTGCGTTTTGTTTTGTCTCCTCAGGCTGAGCCCTCACCGATGAAGACTACCTGGTACTGTCCCCTGGACTTGGTAAGGACTCGCTCTGTGTGAGCTCGTAGAGCGCAGCAAACTGTGTCAGGATTCCTCAGGCTAAAACAGGATCGTTTGAACTTGCTGCAACACAGAGGAAATTAGTTCAAACGCACTCAGTTGATTTGAACACGTGGGGATTTTTTTTCAGGCTCCGTGACGTTCCGTCATCGGCAAAGAAAACGAAAACGCATTCGAGCAGTTCTTCGCCTGATTCTTCATTCGCGTCAAGCTAGAAAAATTAACGTCTGAGAAAATGCAGAGTGAATGCTGAATGACAGCTAAAATGTGTTGAAGAAGCTGAAAGAGTTTACAAAATTAAAATGAGCAGAAATTAGATGAAAATACCCCCAAAAAGTAGCTAAAATTAAAAACTGGCAACCTAAAAGCTAAAACCAGCAAAACGGTAACTAAATCCTAAAAAGCGAGTTTTTTATTTTTTGTAATACCTGTTTGCAATAAAATTATTTATTCATTCAAGACTTAGCACAACAAGACTAAGATAATCACAACAGCAGCTAAAGCTAAATACCAACTAAAAGCTCAAATTAACTAAACCCTAGCTAAATAATAAAACCTGCTAAACTGTAGCTAAACTCAAAAATTGGCACAAGAGTAGTTCAAAGTTTTGATACAGATTCTGTTCATAACTTTCATGGGATGAATTTCTTGGTGCAGCCGGGGGGGTCTGGTTCGATGGCCTCAGGATTCTGTCTCTATTTGTGGATGATGTGGTCTTGTTGGCGTCATCAAGCCATGATCGTCAGCTCTCATGGAGATGTTCACAGCTGGGATGAGGACCAACACCCCCATGGGCCTCAGTCAGAAAAGGGTTGATTGGCCTCAAGTGGAGAAGTTCAAGTATCTCAAGGTTTTAATCACGAACGAGGGAAGAATGGAGCTGGAGATTGACAGATGGATCTCCGTTGTATTGTGCACTCTGTGCCGGTCCGTTGTGATGAAGAGGGAGCTGAGCTGCTTTCTGTTTACTGGTTGATCTACGTTCCTACCCTTCCTCTTTGTCTTTTTGTTTACAGAGTTAATCCCACCTATTCATAATTCATTCATTCTTTATTTCTACATGTTAGTCTCATTGAGTCACGAGGACTCATTTACAAGACAGACCTGTTTTTAACAAAGGACACTGATGAGGTACAGACAATAATAGACAATCGTATAAAAAGCATATAAAATGAAAAAGCAAATAGAAGAAATGATATAAAAATGAAACAACAAAACGGCTACATTATAAAGTGATGTAAAATACTAAAAAACAGGAACATGTCTGCGTTGGTTTTTCAAGTTCATGTCAAGTTTATTGTCCTTCTCATCACGTGTGGTGTGTGAAGTCTAATGAAATTATGTGCTCTGGGTCCCAGTTACACCCAAAAATATAAAGTATAAAAAGAAACAGTATATAAGGATCTAAGATATACACTAAATGAACGCCATATAGTACGCTGAAAGTTCTAGTGTATATGCTAAACACTAATAATGTAAAACAATATGGCGTAACAACAGTAGCCCGAACATTTTGCCATGACTAACAGTTGTTTAATGCCACTTGGAGAGGTCAAGGTTGAGAGCTTCAGATCTTTTTGCAAGGTGTTCCAGGAGAAGGGCCTTTTGCCTAGTTCAGTCCGCACTGAGGGGACACTGCAGGTAATAATGTCCTGAGAGCGCACGCTGTAGCTGCACTCACGCAGAGACATGTAGGAGGAGATGTATGAAGGCAGCAGACCAAGAAGTGATTTAAAGATGAAAATGTACAAGTGAGAGAGTCTGCATGAAGTTAATGATGTCCAGTTAACCAGTGAATACTGGGTGCAGTGGTGGGTACAGTAGTTACAGCCAGTTATGAATCTTAGTGCACCATGATAGACAGCATCCAACATCTACAGCATCCAACATCTGCAGGGTTGGCTCTTGTAAATGAGTCCTCGAGGCTCCATGGGATTTACCTGTCTAAATAAAGGTTGATTGATTGATCTGCAGGGTGCTTGTAGGAGCGTTCATGTAAATAATGTCACCGTAGTCAATGGAGGGAAGGAAGGTCACAGATACAAGGTGTTTCCTAGCATTCAGAGTTAGACAGGATCTGTTTCTGAAAAAAAAAAAAACGTTTTACTAGCCAAGTTTTTGACATGAGGTTTAAAAGAGAGATGCACTTCAACCAAGATACCCAAGTATTTAGAAGAATCGACAAACTCAATAGGAACACCATAGTGTCCCGAGTGACGTGGCTGAAGCTGAAGTGATTCCTCTGTGGTGTGGTCATTCCTGCCCTCCTAAAATCTGCTCCATCTTGTACTTTCTGATTGTTCTCTTCACTTTCTGAGGATCATAGTTCCAAACCGGTGACTCAAAGGGCTTTGGTCATCCTATAAAAGTGAACAAATTTAACTGTGTTTGGGTAGAAAAGGTATATTTGTAGCCTAATCTTGAGACGAGGACAGTTTTGTTTGCCAAATCTGAAGAAAGGGCCTTATAACCCTGGATTTCTGTTCAGTACTATTGCTAGACTAATTAAAAGCCCCATTTCTGTTGATTCATGTATCCCTAAAACTATAAACAGTGATGACTTCATGATATTCTTTATAAATGTATTTAAATTAGGGAGAAAGTTCAAACCATCCTTCCTACTATTGCCACTGGTTCTGTGTCAGATGAGACAACTTTAAAAATGTCACTAGAACCTGATTTCTATTTGGACTGTTTTGTCCTGTTGAAGTCTCTGAATTGTAAAAAATATTGGTTTCATTCAAACCATGCACATGTCTGCTAGATCCCATCCCAACCAGACTGTTCAAAGACTCATTTCCCTTAATCAATATCCACATTTTGGATCTGCTTAATTTGTCTTTAGTGAATGGTTACGTACCACAGAGCTTTAAGGTTGCTGTAATTAAACTTTTACTTAAGAATTCTGGCCAACTATAGACCACTGCAGATAATTTGCCATGGCAGGGCACTCATCTTGTCTGTGATTTTCTATGGTCACAAATTCTTGGTAGAGACTGAAGGAACGAGATCTCGGATACAATTAAAATGAGTTTTCTCTGCAGGGTAGCTGGACTCTCCCTTAGAGAGGGTGAAAAGTTCAGTTCTCCGGGAGAGACTTGGAGTAGAACCACTGCTCCTCCACATCTAGAGGAGCCAGCTGAGACCCAAAGGAAGACCCAGGACACACTGGAGAGGCTGTCTCTCAGCTGGCCTGGGAAAACCTTGGAAGAGGTGGTCTGGTAGTCTGGACCTCCCTGCTCAGGCTGCTGTCCCTGAGACCTGAGACCAAAACAAGATGGATGGATGGATGGATGGATGGATGGATGGATGGATGGATGGATAATTCAATGCTAAAATGAGTAAAACTGTAGCTAAAATTAGCACAAAACAAAAATCTTAAAGCTGAAATTAGCTCAAATTAGAACTCCCCATTCATTTCAATGGAACTGAAAAGGTTATATAAAGTTAAATAGTTTAAAAAGAATAAAAGTTACTAAATCTAAAAGCCATGAAGTCTAACCAAAAGGCACCTGTCTCCTGAATAAACTTAACGTTTTTTATGAATGACTCGAGATGCTGAAAGTGTGCTGTAGTTTGCTGGAGACACTGTAAACAGGAAAAGAACAGTTTGATGCTGTGTCAGCATTTGTATATAAAAGGCAGAGGTAACACAGTCCTGCTGACAGTTTCTGTGTGTTTTAGTCCACTGTGGTGGAGGAGGAGGAGGATGGAGTGATCTTCACCGTCGTGGTCAAACAGCATCATGTGGCTCCCAACAGTTCCCTGGTGAGTTCGTTTTGTCCGACGTCTCGCTCTGTTTTAGGAGACCGCAGAAGGCTGAATTAATTTGTTTTGTCCTGTTTTCCAGTCGACCATGTCTCGCTCCCAGTGCGTAAAGGCGGGGACAGAAGAGAAGCTGGTGCTCCACCTCCTCCACTCGTTTTCCATGGGAGACTCCTCCTTCGTCTCCATCTTCCTCTCTACCTATCGATCCTTCACCTCCACCGAGAGAGTGCTGGACATCCTGATTGACAGGTAGGACCGCCGGTCTGTGTGAGCGTGAACCGCGGTTAGTGAAGCACTTCCTGTTGCGGTGAGGCTCAGCAGCCGCAGCGGTCGGCTGTTTCCTGTGCTCTCAGTTCTGTGCAGCGTAAGGTGGTCCAGAACATAAATCATTGTCTACGTTTATATAAATTAGCGGAAAGATGAATGCCTATACCTTACATATGAATTCTAGACATGTATGACAACATATGAATTCTAGATTTGTGCCGCTCGGGGTGGCTGCATGTTGGAGTAGCTCCGTTATTTTCCTTATTGCTTTTGAAAACTTTAATTCTTATTTTTTCTGGATGTAAATTGCTTTTTTTCGGATGATTACTTCCTCTGGTATCTGATGATGTGCAGCTGGAAGGATTTTTACTGAAACCTTTTTACTTTTGGGCATTTATGATGCGTAACCATGGCAACAAGGTGTTTTTTTTTTTTTTTTACAACCAGGAGCAGCTGATTAACATCTCAAAAGCTCAAATATCTCAAATACAGCCCCAAATCCCAAATGAGTTGAAAAGGAGGCACCGTGGATGAATTCCCGTCAACCTAGTGGCGGTGCTCGAGTACCTGATTGCCGTGATCCTGGAGCTGGTGGGAAACTCTGCTCGTGACAACAGGAGGACCGGGATCATTCCCCGGCACCTTCAGCTGTCTGTCTGAGAAGCTCGGCAGACTGCTGGGAGAAGTGACCATCGCTCAGGGAGGAATGGGCAGTCCTGCTGCCCAGGAGGACCGAGAGGCCCGCCGGATCTGACAGCAAGCTGGATCCAGGTGGATGGATCTGTATCTGTGGCCAGATTCTTCAGCTTCACTGCAGGAGATCCTTCCTGCCCTCAGCTATCAGCGTCTAACAACTCTTGAATGAAACCAGGATGATGAGCTACAACAACACTTAATTTCCCTCTGGGATTAATAAAGTATTTTTGAACTGAACTGAATACCTCCCACTTCCCGGCAGAGTTTAAGACGGAGATCATCTTTTGTTGAGAAATGACTAAAGTTGGAGCCGTTTTGGTCAATCCATGTAAGCAACATTGTGTTGATCAGTCACAGCTACTACCACACCAGATCTCAGGTTGTATCGGTAAAGCTGAAGTCCAGGGTGAGGGCACAGACTGGACCTGAGACTTTAGGATGCTTGTTTAGAGATTTAGAGATAAACTTTGAGACGATTAGTTCATGAACGGCCTGAAAGTGTTGACTTCTTGTACTTGAGCAACACAAGCCTCTGTAAATGTCACGGGAATCTGTCAGGTCGGTGAGATGTTTCCTGCTGGAAGGTGCTGAACTTTCTGACAGACGCTGCTAAACTGCAGGTACCAACTGCTGCGCGTGTTGACAGAACGGCTGAACGAGGCTCTCTGCAGCTCGTTTGAATTTTCACATGCGAACAGGTGTCGGGTTTCTCTTTCGTTTTCCAGTGACGGCGTTTAAATTCAACGTGAAGCGGCTCGTCGCTCATTAGTGCAGTCGGGAAAACAGAACCTCGTCAGAAACTTCGTCTTTTAAGTCGTGAAAGATTTTATGTGACGAGCTCGTTTGAGAAAAATCCTAAAATGTCTGCGCATCTTTACATATAACTTCACTTTAGAAAAAAATGCGCCACAGTTATAAAAATTGCACGCATTTATTTTTCTCTGCTGTTGAGCACTTTGTCTGGTTCACAGATTAGAGAACCCGCCTGGGGACAGTGAAAAAAGCCAGACGAGACAATCCTTCAACAAGTGAGTTTCTGAAAATCTACATCTTTATCTGCGTTTCTGTCAAAGATCCTGCTCTCGTTTGAACACGAGTGACAAGTGGGGCTCCATAACGACTCCTGCTCCAAGCTGTTGTCTTGTTATAGGTATAAGAAATGATCTTTTTATTTTAAACGTTAACGTAAAGCACCAGTCATTTACTGTTTGACAGTAAACATGATGACGGTGGAGTTTAACGGAGCTCAGGTGATAAGTTGGGGACCAGTCGCAGCTATCACTCCATCAGGACTGCTCAACTGGTGGCCCGGGGGCCAAATCAGGCCCACGGCTGAGCTCAGTTCGGTTTAGCTGCACAGCCCTGCACCCTGTTTCAGCGAAATATCTTCAAACTTTGTGTTTTGTCTGTGAGCTCCCCTCCTTGAACGTCTCCTCGGTGTCCCTGCAGAGCGGTGTGCACCGTGTTCAGCACCTGGCTGACCGAGTATCCCGAGGACTTTAAGGGTCTCCGGGATCCGAGCCGCCTGCTGCGTTTGGCCCCCCTCCTCCCCCACGACTCCACGTCTGCAGCGGACCTCCGCGCTCGCCTCCTCAGGGCGGCGGAGGAGCTCAGTGAGAAAGCTCTGCTCCCTGACGCCCACAGAGGTTTGGACGTGAACTTTTTCCTCTCTTCAAAACAAACAAACAAACAAACAAAAAGAACAGAAACAAGTTTTTAAAAAAACTAAATTGGTCTTAATGTTTTATAATTCTGCTCCTAAAGTAAAAAATTCTTGATACAGTTTACTGAAATGTTCTGGTCCTTACATTTGGACTTCATCTAAACATTTTTGTAATGAATTTGTGAAGAATTTGATTCCTGTGTTTGATGTATCCTGATGTAAGGCTATAAAAAAATAACCTCCTTGTTTGTTGTGAGGTGAGAAGGCAGGGTTTATTATTAAATCTGCTCTAAACTTTTAGCTTCAGTTTTAGGCATTGAACGTTTATCTCTATCTTTATTGATGGTTTGAACAAAATGGACCATAAAAAATATTCAGTGGATTCTCAGAGTTCTTGTCTCGCTGCTGTCGATTCAAACATTAATTTGACATAAATGTACTTGTAATTAGATTTTAATGCTCAGGACAACAGTTCTCTGACTGCATCTCAATTAGTTTATTCATTAATTTCTGTTTAATCCACCACTGCAACAAAAATATGTTTATTATCACGGTGAATGGACATCTGCTGTCCCATGGAATTAAATGAACTAAATGATTTTTAGTGTTACAATACATTTTTAAAAATGAAATAAATAAATAAGGTTGTTTCTTTGGTCTTGCTGTCTCTCTGCAGAGCAGACCAGTTTCCCCAGCTCCTCTCCTGACCCCTCCAGGTTTGAACCCACCAACATCCTGGGATTTTCTGCCGCTCTCATCGCAGAGCAGCTCACTAAGATAGAAACGGTGAGTTGACTTTAAAAGAACAGGATTTATTCATTTTAACACGAGTCCAACTTTAGTCCCTGTTTTTAAGTTTATCCTGGATTATGTTCAGTCTTTTCTCCATTTATTGTATGTAGGCATGTATATATGTATGTGTGTATGTGTGTATGTGTGTATGTATATGTATGTATATGTATGTATATGCATGTATGTAGATCCATTTTTCTTCCATACGTTTGTTGGCGATTCTCATCCCTCAGTTTTCAAGTTATTTCAACAAATCATAAATCAAAACCTTCAGCTTTTTCAGGACAATCCTGCTCTGATTTTTGGTATTGGTTCAACTTTAGCTTTTTTGAAATATTTAGCCTTTTCTGCCACTTTTTTCCTCATAGAAAATGAATTGATCTCATTTTACATCCTTCAAATCTTTAGATCTGTTTACAACCTTTTACTGCTCCTTTCACATTTTCTTCTGCTTTAACTTCTTTCAGCTTCCTTGAGCAAATTTAAACTATTTTTTTCAGCTAATTTCAGCTGTTTTTCAGCTGTTTTGTGCTCCTTTCAGCTTCTTTCTGTTAACTACAACATCTTTGTGCTTCTAACTTCTTTCTACTAATTTCAGCTTGTTCTGCTCCTTTCAGCTTATTTCTGAAAGTTTCAGCTTTTTGTACTATTTCGGTTAATATACAGCTGTTTCATGCTAATTTTAGCCTTTTCAGCTAAATCCACATTTTTTGCACTCATTTCAACTTTTTTCAGCCTAATTCAACAAAAATGTGCTCTCAACTTCCTTCTGGCAATTTAAGCGTCTTTCTGATGTTTGGCTTTTTTTGAGCTGTTTTTTTTTTGTTTGTTTGTTTGTTTTTTGTTTGTTTGTTTTGGGGGGGGGGGGTGTTGCGCTAATTTAATATTTTTTCAAATAATTTCCACTTTTTATGCTCATTTCTGCTTCTTTCAGCCTAACTGGGCAAATATGTACTATC